AAGACGCCGAAGCTGGGCCCTACCCTGAGACATGTGAATCCAGCGGACAATCTTCCGCCTCACTTCCTCAACACCCACGCAGTTTCTCAGACCCCAGACATGTGAGCACCTCATCTGTCCTGTGAGTGCTACACGTTCGACTCATATCCAGAATTTTTACTTCTTATTTCTTTGTCTATTTCATACTTTCTCTAATAGTCCAGTTTGCAGCCGGTCGGGATTAGTACGTTGCCATTTGTAGCGGATGAATTCCGGGAAGGACGAACATAATTAACGAAGAGAAAACACTCATCTCAGCCCACAGTTTTCAACTAATTCTACTTTTACATTTCGTTTCCGAGTAAAACACAGTTGTTTAATTAATTTTCATTTTTAGTCACGTTCCGCTGTTGTAAAGTAGTCCCTGTGTCGAAGAACCAAGGTTTGAAGACTATACAGAGGTGTGGAACGAAAATTTATGCAGTTTTAATGTTTGCATTAGATTGAGACAAGAAGTTAGCTTGACGCTCTGGCCGCGTTATCTTTGGAGCCATTACATAGAAGGTAGGGTGTGCTCCAGAACTGGAATTGACGGAAGGAGGAAGAAAAATCCTGCTACAATCGAGAATCGAAAGTCAGTAATATAAACTATTGCCAGAAATTTTCCTCCTTCACTCTACATAAATACATCGAGCCATACATGGGCCACGGATCACCACAGCTGAGTCACACCACGCCTTATTACATTTAGGCGAAATGTCCAGGTGGCTCGAGGCCGGTGTAGTAAAAGAAAGTGGTTGCCCTGATTTTTAACAATTTGCCAACCTCTCCCTGCCTTGTCACGCAAAGTGATTTTTCGGTTAGCGTGCGTATACATTGCTCGGGCGAAGACAGCTTGAAGTGTTGTATCAGTCTGCCTGTCCTAATTAAACTCATTTGCATACCCACCTGTCTGCCCAACCGAGAGCCGCAGAGTTCAAACGAACTCAATGATTTAAACGCACAAGGGGCTTTATACTAGGTCATTTCAAGGTTTAAAGACAGTCTATTAACTGTAAATATTGGCCACGCCATAGCTCAAGCGGTTAGCTCCTGGCTTTACACCGCGGCGGCCCGGGTTCGATCCCTAGTCTGGTCAAGTGGGATTTGTGGTGGACAAAGTGGCGCTGGGCAGGTTTTCTCCGAGTACTTCGGTTTCCCCTGCCAATCTTCATTCCACCAATTGCTCCACAATCACCCTCACCTATCATCTGGGACTGGTACAATAGGCCAGAAGTGGCCGCAGTACAAGGGACTTAGTCCCACCCCACTAGCAATAAAGAAACTGTAAATATTTATCCCCAAAAGAGATAAGATTATCAACATGTATGGTGAATTTAATTTATCGTGACATGACTCCTTGAAAGCCGGAATAATGGAGCCAGAGCGGAAGTCCAATGCTAGCCAACGGCTCGCTAAGCATATGTTCCCGCTGCAAGGAATAGTCGCGGAATAATCAATAATCAATTATGCAATCATCCAATTTGGAACCCATCAGACACATGAAAATTTGAAGAGATGAGGCCGTGGCCTATTTTAAGTCTTCTTGGCATTAACCTGACAGGACTGATACTTATGGTTTGTTTAAGGGGGCTGCATCAATCATTGAAGCAACGTAGTATCAGATGTGATGATGGATCTGTGTTATGTGCTCCCTTAAAGACATTAGTAACCACTGAGGATCGAAGGTTAATGAAACCACATAATTACGGAGGATTTTGGCGTCATACAAGACAATGGATCTGTATTCTGTGGTCTATTTGCAAGTACTATGCTGGCATTACACCCCTTAAGAGCTGAGGCTAGCAGACTAGCTGGGTTGTATCAATCACAGAGGTTACTTAGCATCATGATGGACAAGCATTCTGTGGCCTATTTCCAGGCACTTAACCTGGTGGGACTGAATAAAACTATCAAACCTGTTGGTGGAGGTAAAAGTCTGGCCACAATCAAAACAGAGAAATCCATACACATTTCAAGAATCAGACCGCAGTCGTCCGGCACATAGCCGATCATTTATTTACTTACAATATCCTTTTAAAAAGACTCTCTAGTTTTGAATGCATATAATTATCTGACCACATAGCAAACATCATTGTACTTGAAGTCCCAGAGTTTAGCAGTCTTAATAGAATGTGCTGCCCCTGGTGGAAAATCATGAAAGTGTACGGACGTGGTATTATATTGCCGCGTGTTTCCTAGGTAACACGAGAATAATTCACGTGGGTTTCCGGATTTCAGCGAATATTTACTGGACACTCACTTTTACACTTCCAAGTACGATTATCACCCACTTATAACGTCCTCAGACGTTTCTTACAACACTACAGTTACTTCTTGCACCGCAAATTTCGGTGAAGTCTTCTGTTCCCTTTGTCGGATGCGAGCTTGCCTCTGCTCTCGTCGGAGCTACACTAAGAACTCAAAAACTTAAAACCTGACTGGCCTCGACGAAGCTGGACTTTTATAACCTGGTCTCGGACGGAATAGAGGGCACCATGTAGGAGCCTTTGGTCTCGACCGCTGTTTTGCAACGAACCTTTTGTTGTCCTTTCACCTCCGGGGAAACGCGTTTGTTGCTTAAGGTATTCCTAGGCAACGGACCCCTGGTATTGCGTTTCCGGGCGCACGCCACAATATGTAAATGGTAAATTCAAAGGAATTAAATTCTGTTATAAAATCATCGTCGAGATATAAATAAGATCCGAGTAAGCCTCCCTGGAGGTGTTCTTCAACCAACTACGTAATAATATTGTAATGTATTCAACGATACACAACCATTTAATTCGTACTGATTATTCACGTAAAACAGGGAAAACAAATGGTGATAGCTAACGGGTTATTTGCTTCGGTGCGGAGGGATGAATGAATTTCTCTTATTCATATATGAAACACTGTGCCAACAAATACATAAATTCCATATTAAAACTGAAGATGTGTTTGTTCTGAAATTAAATTTTCGTTATAATGCAAATTGTGTAAGTGTAACATAGCTGCTCCTTGCCTCTGCACAACGTCATGAAGGCGTCCAAGGTGTGCAGAAGTACAGACTACCTCTATGCTTTCCTCACCTAGTCGCTGGATAGAGGCGAGTATCATTGAGGCCAAGTCATTGGTCCTCCATTATAAATCCATTGAACAGGGGACTGAATATTAAAATTGGAATGGTCCAGTTCGATATTGCTCCGAATTATATTTCCCATCCCACAAATGAAAGATTGTTAATAGTTGGAAAGTTGCAAACGTGGTTACCTACAACACAAAATCATCCGGTCTCAACCTCGCATCCTGTCGTACCCTCCTGGTTGCTGCTAACAGATCATAATGTACAAAACGATCGATCGACAATTTTGTCGCTAGGCAACCATACATATTTACAAGACTTGTCATTATGCGACACAACGGTGGTAAATAACATAAAGAAATGTGTGCTGTTATTTTTCAATGGTTGCAGCCTGTTGTGTTAAATATATACATTTCTTTATTAAAATCTGTCACAACACAACGACAAAATAGTTGATGTTTAACAGTATTTTGTTGTTGTGTTGTGAGGGATTTTAATAAATAAATTTATGAGTTCTATTATGTTCCATTTTCAGAACGCGAAATTTTGGATAGTTCAGTGATTTTTCCATGAAATGCACTAAGGTTCATGTGCGAAGCTATCAAGCTAAATGATTAAAATGCCACGTTATCACTGGTAATGTTTATTAAAGAAGTAGTTACTATAGGATTCTGACGATGGTGTATAACACACTGATATGTTGGGTTTTTGGACTTTATCCATCGTCCTGGTTTTTAAGATAACAAATAAAAACACGACGTTTCGGAAACTAGCTCAATCTAGCCTCAATCNTATTCTAATATCAAAGTATTTACAACCACTACATAAAAAAGGTAAGACAATCCCTGTAACAGGCCGTGAAGGCCCGTAGGGTTGTGAGAGGTCGATGCTACCACATTTTCTAGAAGATCGGCTCACAGATGGCGGTGAGGTTGTCAGCCTTACGCGCCGGCCTCCCTTTACCCCCCAGGAAGATTCCTGGTACTTATTTATGTTAGTGGATGAGTCGACTCCAGGGTCATAGCGCGGCTGGAAGGATCAGGTAAACTGAAAAATCCAACGGCCTCATCGGGACTCGAACCCGCAACCTTCCGGCTTTTAGTACAGTACCTCAACCAACTACGCTACCGCTTGCCCCTTGCCCCTTGCAGCCATTACATATATACTAAGAATTTGTGAAAGTTTTTGTTCTTCACCAGGATTTTTCTGAAAATAGATTTTATTTAAGTGATGGGATTCTTTATTTGTTACAGTTTAACGAAAATGTACTCCCAGCGCCGAACACAGAAGTTTCCAAAGTTTCAGATCCGTCAACTTCTTCACGAGGTGCATAATGTACGTAGCTGCCTATCAACCACATAGGACATGGTAAAACAGAGACAACTAAAGATGTCTGGTTCGAATCTCGGCCGATACATCGACCATCCTGACTTTTGGATGAGGAAGTTCGTGGTTTTCATCAGTCCCTTCAAGCAAAGTGCAAAATAGTTCCTCAAATTAGGCCATCACTGCTTCCTTCCACATCCTTTCCAATTCATTATTCATTAATCATCTGATTATTTAAACTGATCAGCTGACAGCGTCGTTAACTAAGCCACAATCCATAAACTGGTGAGATGAAAGAAATTCCTATTTTATGTGTGACATAAGAAATAAGAAATTTGGGTTAAGAAAAGCCTAAAAATGAACCACTATTTAGCCAGTAGACATTAAAACCCATGTGTTGTTTAGCTGTAGAGCAAGTCTAGCGTTTTATAAGCCGTTATATATAAATTATAGACATTAGCTTTTTAATGCCTTTGAAGTTTAAAGGCTTCTTTGTGCTAGCTCTGGAACCTAACTATTTTAAAGTTCTTACTACGAGTAATACTTGATATTAGAGTGAAACCCAGTTCACTGACTTTACGGTATATCTTACCTCTGAGACTGGGATTTTTCTTCTCCCTCCGCAGAGATCTCGGTGTGGGTCTGCAAGTACTGAGCCTCTTTGGAAACGAGAACATCGCGAGGGATGCCAAAAACAACAGGGCCGACACCATCACCAGTCCTGGCGGAATATACACACATCAGTAATGTAGTATGCCCACCGCCACATCAAATTTTAGGACAGAAGATAGATTTATATCTATATGCTTTTGGAACGCAAATATCCCAGTTACGGTATTCTTTTAAACTTCTATATGGAAATTATAATAGAAATTAACACGCAAAAAAACTTAAACAATATTCGGCATAGAAGGGGTTACTTGTGTTAGGCCTACTTGTGGGAAGAGTGAATGTTCCTTTAAACTCATACAGGCCTGTAATTGGGGACTGTTTTTATTCCTTGGTAGGCCGGGTGGGGCTATATAGAAGAGATCAGGGGACGGACAGATCCAAGGGAGAACTGTTTAAAATACTGTTAAGAAGAGATCAATTATTCGCACTGACTGCACACATTTCCAAGATACTAGAAGGGAAATTTGTATTGTTGTACATTCTTTGCACAATGTGCAGGGAGAGAATGTACACATATCTTCAAGTTATCAGTTTATGAGAGCAGCTGGAGTCAGAGTTACTTTACGACTGCCGGTTTACTGCCAATAGATCGTCTTGGCGACAAGCCTTCTGAAACACATGACCAGATTTGTTTTTTATTTTCCAACCGAACACTTGCGGCTATAGTCCTTATGTAACATCCTGTGTGACAAGAGGATGGGTCTGTCGTTTACAATTACTGCTGGTCCTTGCCAGCGCAGTCATTCATAGGTCCGAGTCCCGTGGGACTCATGACCACATTTTACTGTCTCAGATTCGAAACTCCCACAACCTGGAGGGCCAGGTCACCGTACAGCCCTGGGTGAGCCTTGGCCTCCTCTACAACCAGTCTCCACAACCAATGCGTGTTGCCATAGGAATGGACCCACGCATGATGACCCGAGGCTGGTTGTTAGGTTTCTGAACACTACTTTTTTACAGGATGAGGTTGTTAGCCTCATGGCCAACCCCCAACATGGAGGACCAGGGTATCTCTCTTAGTCTGGACTCTACCCTTTGACCTTTCTGGCATGTGTGACCCTACCGGTTGTTAAACTACCGCCGGCATAGCTCTCCAGGTCACAGAGTCACGCAAGCTTCACCATCACGACAAGGTGGTGACACCTTTGGGGGGTGAGGCGGAAGCCACTCTAACCCTATTACGGAAGCGCGGTAACCATGGTAACCAATAGTACCAGTAGGAAACATTAGGATTCGTGGTGATAATAGTAATAATAGCAATGCTTGTGGGGAGGTAGATGTAGTAACGACATGAAACGCGCGTACACTTGTATGCATGTTAAGACGCGAGAAATTTGTCTGGGAACTGGATTGACTTCGGTAGGGCATGCGCCTTTCCCACCAAGTTAATAATTCATTCGGACACGATATCTTAAACTGCTACTGATTCTCTCCAGATGTTAAGACACACGTTGAAACGAATCTGGCATGGATCATACCTGGGGGGGGGGAGGAAACCCTCCTACGTGACATATCACAGATGCTCGAACTGCAATTCTCTTTTGTAGGCCTAATTATTTGCAACACTGGACCGAATACAGATAAATGTTTTAAAATTTTGTCACTTGGTGTTCTCCTACTTCGAAACACAAATCTTGCACGTCTTTCAGAAATATTATAAACGCTCTATCATATGATTCCGCAGAAGAAAATTCGGAGGACTAAATAGCTATATAGCTTAGCGNGGCTTTGAGTATGAAGAAAACAGTCTTCTGGGATGTGGCACCATATAGAAGTGGTGTTAACCGACGTTTAGGAGGAACGTATCGCCTCCATATTCAGGGTAGAAAAATCCGCGAGCGAGGAACCAGCTTGAACAGATGGCTGCAGTCTGCACTTTTTCTACCTTGAAGATGGAGGCGATACGTTCCTCTGAAACGTCGGTTCACGCAAGATCTACACGGCGTCATATTTCAGTAGGCTGTATTCTTCATAGTCACCGCCGTGAAGACCTCAGCTCTTGCAGTGGTAATCATGTTCAGCTTGGCATGATGTCGAAGAGACGGCGTGGACGTAAATTCCTAACCACTCTTTACCTTAACACTGGGTGCAGATATATTATCTCCTTCATGCTCCAGCCAATTTACCCTCCGAGAAACAATTCCCAGTATACACTGGGGAAGAATATATGAGTTTCTTGATAAGATAAATAGGGCTACGGACCACATCAAGAACACAACTTAGTTAGCCACTTAGATACAGACAGATTGGTGCGTCATGTAGATAGACAGCAAAAGGCATATAGACAAGCAGTTTCTGCTTTGTGTACTGTACAAAAACCATTGTATTCTTTGTTACTACATTTTCGTTTTTAATTTTGGGGTTCACAGAAAAACATGTGCAGAAGAAGAAAGCTAGGCTTACATTACACACTTACCTAGCCACCAAGCTCCGACCCACCGAGGGTCTGTGGGTGTGATTTTGGGGTCAACTGTTAGGTCAGCGTACAGCCTTGTGCACAGTGAACCCAGTATGAACCCCAGAGCTGGTCCAAGTATTCGTACTCCAATGGTGATTGCTGGAATAGAGAAAATTACGCAGTAATTTTGAAATCATTCATATATTTTTGAACTAAAATATTCAAGAAAACTTGCGATTTCGCCGACAAATAGTATATAACAATCGAAAACAGCACAAGAATACATATTTTATGATTTGTAACGAAAAATTACCGTTACATCTAGTATGTAACTACAGCCGCACAACCGGTTCGTCACATCCAGGAGAGCTGCATGCAAATAAAGTTAATGCAGAAAGTTCCTTGTTCACGTTGTAATAAAGTACAATGTCAATTGGAATACAGTATATGTGTTAGTTTATTTGCCGTTCACATCTTCAGCGAGTAGAGTTCAGAAATGACGCACATAGAGGCCATATGTTTGAACAGTAACTCTATGCCGAAAGAAGCATTTTAAGGAAACTGGATATCCTGCTTTTTCTTTGAAAGTTCTTCTGAATACGAACGTTCATAAGTTGTGACATCATACCCCACTGTTAGTTCGTCAGAATTCCGAAATTACTTCAAGGTTTTAGATTATACTTTATGTTTGAAGTCTACATTAAAAGTTGGCTGAATTTCATTTTGATCCAAATAGGTTCAATATAATATTTCAATATACAGAACTATAATTTTGCCTGTTGTTCTGTATGGGTGTGAAACTTGGTCTCTGACATTAACGGATGAACATAGACTGAGGGTGTTTGAGAACAGGGTGTTGAGGACAATATCTGGACCAAAGAGAGATGAAGTGACAGGAGGTTGGAGAAAACTTCATAATGAGGAGCTTCATAACTTGTACTCTTCTCCAAGTATAATTAGAATGATCAAGTGAAGGACGATGAGGAGGGCAGGGCATGTAGCACGAATGGGGAGATGAGGAATGTATATAGGATATTGGTGGAAAAGTCAGATGGAAAGAAACCAATGGGAAGACAATGGCGTAACCGGGTGGACAACATTAAAATGGATCTTAGAGAGATAGGATGGGATGGGATGGATTGGATTGATCTGGCTCAGGATAGGGACCAGTGGTGGGCTCTTGTGAGCACGGTAATGAACCTTCGGGTTCCATAAAATGCTGGGAAGTTCTTTAGTTAGCTGCACAATTGGCAGCTTCTCAAGAAGGGCTCAGCTCCGTGAGTGAGTGTGTGAGATTCAATATAATTACGTTACTTGCAACACAAATCCTAATTCTGTAAAAAAATTCTTAAACGTTGTATATTTCGAAGATCTATTATCACACACTATTTCAGGACCTTACACTAAAAGGTGTTAACATCGTAAATGATAAAGCCGGTGCCCTTTGTCGGCCGATGCGCATATCGGCAAACTTGTTAAAAGTAGCCAATATATTGTACGTTTCAACCTTGAGATTAAACCGGAGCTTGACAGTTTCTAGGAAGAGAAAGCGCTACACAAGAATTTTCATTGTGCTTTCGTTTAAGCCTCCTGATGCTTTCATTCCTTAGATCTAAATATTCTTCCCATAGGGTCAGAGACCAGGGGGCACGCGGTAGCGTAGTTGGTTGAGGCACTATACTACAAGCCAGAAGGTCGCGGGTTCGAGTCCCGATGAGGTCACTGGATTTTTAAAATTGACCTAATCCTCCCAGCCACACTATGGCTAGGGCGCTAGCAGAAATGAGTACCAAGAATCTTTCTGGAGGTTAAAGAGCGGCCGGAGCGTAAGGCTGACAATCTCACCGTCATCTATGAGCCGAATGTGGGAGCCTCGACGTCTCACAATCCTATGGGCTTTCACTGCCTGTTACATAGATAAGTTTACCTTTTTTAAAAAAAAACACGCAAAATTATATAATATTTGCAGTTTCCACGGCGAATGAAGGCACTGTAATCCCCTGCCTCGATCGTGCTACCCATTAAAAAGTGTCGCCTACGTAGTTGTGAAAAAGATGGCTGGTAATTTCACTTTTCGACGTGAACATAGTAAAAAAAATAAGTTGAAATAAAGACAAGCGAACTCATGTTCTGTGACAGGGCAGAAGAACTGGAACAGGTTCAAAAGTACTTTCTTCTGAATATTTTATTTGTGATTCCGCTTACCTGAGGAGACCGGATGCCCATTTACTCGAAATTCAAAGACAATGCTGCAAAGCCACTACTACTGCACATAAGAAACGTTGCCCTGAATTTTGTCAAATATGCATCATAACGAAAACGTTTCAAATGAAAGTTGTAGATCTCAATGAAAGCTTAATTCTATATTGCGCCTCAGTTATTTGAATGATTTTGAGAAAATATGTGCAGTACAATGTAAGTTTATTGATTAAATTATATCTATTTGAACTGAAGGCAGTTTACCCTAAAACTTTCAGTGTGAAACGCTACTACCAAACAGCAGAAACACAAGTTGAGACAGATATAACCTCAATATTATGCCTTCATTTTATACACTTCGTGCAAAGAGAACTTGCATGTATTTCCTTGTTTAAAATTTCCTTATTCATTTAATTTTAGTAATTTTCAATCCTCTTTGTATTTCCGTTCCACGAAATAAGTTATGAACTCCCGAAAACGATCGCTGCCTAATACCAGGGTAAGCTTAATTGTTCTCAGAGGAGCTTCGGATAAAAGTGCAGACTAACCAATCGTATCATCACCTCGTGTATCAACGATCAGGAGTGGTCTTTCAACAGTTCGGCCCTCCACAAAGGCACTAGAATTCGTTTCGTGTCCTTGGGGGCACGGCTATTATTTCAGTTGAAGTGTGCCATTAATCAGCATCAGAAGCAAACCAAGGTACGTGAGGACTGCTTTCGAGATCAATCACGGCTACCACCATGCCTTCACGCGCTCGAAACAAATTATATTTATGTTCACACATCACTACTGCGGAGACAGCCATGGCTGCTTTATATCAATATTATAGAGGGCGCGGGGGAGGAATCGACCCGGAATGATCGTGTATTATAAGTAATGCAGGTCTGGGCAAATTCTTTAGAAACGAAAGTGAACATTTTATAAGAAGTTTTCTAATGCATTGTGGGTAGGCTGACAGGAGATATACCGACAGAAATTCTGTAACATAGACTGGACTCTTCCACAGAGTGACGTCATGTTATAACAGGTTTATTTTCCCGAAAAGGAGAGGACAGGATATAATAGGATGGGATAAGACAGACACATGGACAGACGGAGAGACAGACAGAGACAGACGGATAGACTAACAGAAAGAGGCGGGTGGATGGATAGGTGAATGGATGGACAAATAGAGAGAAAACAGACAGACCGATAGATAGATAGATGGATAGATAGACAGACAAATAGATGGATAGATAGACAGACAGATAGATGGATAGATAGACAGACAAAGAGATAGATGGATAGATAGACAGATAACTAAATAGATAGATGGATGGAAGGATGGATGGATGGATAGAGAGACAGACAGATAGATAGATGGATAGATAGACAGATAAATAAATAGATGGATGGATAGACTGATAGGAGGAATAATGAAATGTGCATAACAAGTGGTTACAATTTGCAGTCTTCACCAGATACTGCTAAGACGATCAGACGCGGAAGAAGGGATGAGGATGGTATGTAACGCGTAAGGAAGAAATGATAAATTCATAGGCAATTTTAGTTTAAATATCGAAAGACAAAAGATGACTTAAGAAAGACAGAATTGAAGCGTTCTCTCTTTACAGATACTGTGTAAAAGTGTGGACTGGATCCAGTGACGAGATAATTAACATCTGGGTGTCATAAAAGTAGGGGATTTTTTAACGGTTGACAGAATACTGTGTTTCTCAAGAAGGGCTCTGCTTCACGCAGCCTGTTACGGATATAGAAACAAAGAGAGGAAAAAAGCAGTCTTTTGGGATGTGGTACCGTGTACATGTGGTGTTAACCGACGTTTCAGAGGAACGTATCGCCTCCATCTTCAAGGTAGAGGGAAAAATAAAAAATCCGCAAGTGAAGAGACCGTGAGAATGGACTGCTTGTACCGGTTAACACCACATCTACACGGAGTCACATCCCAGAAGACTGCTTTCTTCATAGTCACCGCCGTGAAAACCTCAAATCCTACAAAGAGAAGAAAGTTAGTTTGGACTAGGCATAGCATTTCTGAGGATGTTTATTTTTTTTGTGAGTTTATACCCCTTATTGGAAATGTTTTCATTGATTTCAGATACAATTCTACTGTGGCCGTGTTATGGTTCGTACGACCTTGAATCGGGGGCTAGAAACACATACAACGTCATCGGTCTTACGGAAAAATATTGTACGACCTCCTTTTCACACTAGGGCGACCAAGTACATTTCTTTGCTCTCCGAATGTCGTACGGTAGATGTCGCATGTCGTCACGCATGAAAGCCAAGACTACACTTTATATTCTACTACCTGACGCGACATGAATCGTACGGAAGTCTTACGACCGATGTCGCTGTGTGTCTCCCAGCCCTAACACAGGGATTGGGGTTACAAATCTCACTTAGGGCATGACTATAGGCCGTGGTGATCTGTGCTGTGCTGTCCTGTGCAAGGAGAGAGGCCTTGCGATAAACAGGTCCTTTGTAAAAGGAGCCCTACAAATTATCTATACAGATTCCATTCAGAATTCAATCTGAAATGAAATGGGCCATAGGACCTAATCCGTGATAACTGAAGAGGAAGGAGAAACGCAATTTTCACACAGTGAAAAGGTGTAGGCAGCAAGTTTCTCAGAAATGTCAATAACCAGACACAAGACTACGTGACGTTGCACCCGGAACATCACAATGCAAAGAAACTTGCAATGAACCAGTCCCTTTCCAACGAGGCGTACCGAATTCCCGAACATATTTGTTTTTCAGTCTAAGGACGCGCCATAGCTCAAGCGGTTAATCGCTGGCTTCCCATCGCGGAGGTCCGGTTTCGATCGCGGGTCTGGTCAAGTGGGATTTGTGGTGGACAAAGTGGCGCTGGGGCAGAATTTCTCCGAGTACTTCAGTTTCCCCTGCCAATCTTCATTCCACCAATTGCTCCACAATCACCCTCACCTATCATC